TCCCACCCTCCCCCACCTGCGGCACTCCTTCTGGCACGATGGCACTGGCACTGGAGTGAGGCCAGATGACGCGGTGCTCTCGCTGATGCATTGTGCCGTACGCATGTGGATGTGAAACAACTGCCGACACTTCTGTCTTGCCTTTGTCAAGCAGGGGGGGGGGCTGGTGGGGGGGGGGATGGGGGGGATGCGGTTGGGACAGGGAGAGGGAGGGCGAGAGGAAAAGAAAAGAGGGGAAAGGAGAGAAAGAGAGAGAGAGAGAGAGAGAGAGAGAGAGAGAGAGAGAGAGAGAGAGAGAGAAGAGAGAGAGAGAGAGAGAGAGAGAGAGAGAGAGAGCAGAGAGAGAGAGAGAGAGAGAAAGAAGAGACACAGACAGAGAAAGACAAAAAGAGAGACACAGACAGACAGACAGAGACTGACAGAGACAACAGAGAGACAGAGACCAAAGAAAAAAAAGATAAAAACTGAGTCAAAAAAAAGCCCAAAAGCAAGACATTAACCCAAGTCCCAGCCACACCCACACTCCCTCGACCCGCAAACCCCGAAGCCGAAAGTCCCCGTCGGAAGTGCACCAAACCCGCGGAATCAAAGCCCCCGTGTTTGCCCGAACCCTTAAGGGCTCCGCGGCCGCATTCCGCCCGCTGCCCTAAACCCTAATTAGGCCCCAATTAAGACCCTAAAGATTCGAGTTTCCGACTAAATATCGTGGATTCACTTTCTGCGCCTCACTTTTTTGACAAATATTTGTTGGATGTGTCTTTTTTTAATTCAGTTTTACTCATTTTTGTAACGACCAACAACTGGATACACAAAGAAAGAGAAATCGAAAAAAACTACAATTAAGATAAGATATAGAATCGAAAATAATATATAAACAGGGGATGCAAGAAATTATTAAAAAAGAACGGAAGAAAAACAGGAACAACCACGGAGGAAAAAAAAGGAGGCCAATAAAACAGAGAAAACAAAAAAACACCCAATAAAAGGAGGGAAAGTAAAGAGGTTAAAAAACAAAACCATCTTTTGAAGAAGAGCGAATAAGAAAACTAAAATAAATAAATAATAAATAAAAACCGGAAAAAATACAGCAAAAGCGAGGAAAGGATAAAAAAAAACATAAATCCCAAAAGAGAAATACACACAAAGGACAAAAGAAAGAAAGAAAAAAAAAAAAAAAAAAAAAACGTAGAAAAAGACAAACTACACCAGAAAAAAAAAATATATATATATATATATAAAGAAGCCAAAGGCACAAAGGAAGAAAACGCTCTTGAAAGGTCAAGGAAAAGGCCAGAGGAACCTGTATGATTAAAGGCAAACTGTAAGTAGCCTAAGAAGGTATTGGCGAAGGAGGGGGGGGGGGAGGAGACGAGTGGGGGGGGGGGGAGAAGACCTGAAGGGTGGGGGGGGAGAAGGGGGAGAAGAAAGTGATGGGGGGGGGGAGGGTGGGAGAGGAGGGGGGGGGAGAAAGACCTGAAGGGTGGGGGGAGAGGGGGAGTAGAAAGTGATGGGGCGGGGGGGAGGGAGGGAGAGGAGGGGGAGGGGGAAAGATGGAGGGAAGACTGAGGGTGGGGAAGGAGGATGAAGAGGAGAGGGAGAGGAACGGGGTGGTGGGGGAAGACTGAGAATGGAAGGAGGATGAAGAGGAGAGGGAGAGGAGAAAGGAAGAGAGGTGGAGAGGTTTGGAGGAAGAAGAGGGACGGATGAAAGGAGGAAGCCGGGAGAGAGGAGGAAGAAACATGGAGGCAAGACTGAGTGTGGGAACGTATAAGGGGAGGAGAGAGAGAGGAAGGAAGGCGGTGAGGGGAGAGAGACCAAAGATGGGAAGAAGGAGCGAAGGAGAGATGAAGGGAGAGGGAGGAGAGATCAGCACTACCAAGGTCTCACGGCTGTATTATAAGATGATCAAAGGTGACCCTCACTAACCACCCCCACCCCACAACCTCCCCCCCTCCCCCAAGAGGCAAGGTAACGACTCTCTTTCTCCTCCTACCCACCCCCCCCAATCTCGTTCGGTTAAGAAATAAATAAATAATAAAAGCAAACATGAACCGGACGGCACGTGGCAGCCAATCAGAGGAGGTAAGGCAAGCGCGGGTCGAAGGCAGATCAAACGCTCACAAAAAAGGAAAAAAAAAAAAACAAAAAATATATATAAATTGATTAAAACCACTGACCGATGATTTAAACCCCCCCCCCAAAAAAAAAAAAAAAAAAAAAAGGAGCAGAAAATAGATGCTAAATAATAGTAATACAAATGATGACGTAACGATAGCAACACCAACAAAATCAGTAACACAAACAACCCAACTCTTAAAATCAAAACAACAAACACCATCACACAAATAACCAGATAAACACGAATAATAATAAAAAAACAACAACAAAAACCAACCAAACAAAAAAAAACACACCCCCCCCAAAAAAAAAAACCCTCCCCCTCCCCCAAAACAAAAACAAACAAAAACAACACAACAACAACAACACGCGGACCAAGGCACCGACGAAAGGCAGCAATAAAGGGCCAGTCAGAGGGCAAGGCGAGCGGCGGCGAGCGGGCGGCAGCCCCGAACCAATAACAGCGGCTGACAACGGAGCGCGAGAAACGTGACACGGGGAGCCATAACCACAGAGGAGAGAAGGAGGGAGGAGGGAGGGGGGAGGGGGGAAGGGAGGAGGAGAGGGTGGGTGGGTGGGAGGAGAGGAGAGGGGGGGGGAGGAGGGAGGGGTGAGGGGGGGAGGAGAAGGAGGGGTAAGGGGAAGGGGAGGGGGAGGGGAGAAGGGAGGGGGAGGGAGGAGGGGGTTTGGAAGGGGAGGGGAAGGGATGAGGGGTTTGGAAGGGAGGAGAGGAGGAAGAGGAGGGGGAGGGGGAGGGAGGGAGGAGGAGGAGGGGGGAGAAAGGTGGAGGGTAGGCAGGGAGGAGGAGGGGAGGAGAGGAGGAAAGGTTAAGAAGAGGAAAAGGGAGAGTGAGATAAGGGAGAAGGGAAAAAAAGGGAAGGGGGAGAAGAGGAAGAAAGGAGATGAAGAGCGGAAGAACAAAAGGGAGGAAGAAGAAGAGGAACGAGGAGTACTGAGAAGGGGAGGAGGTTGAGGAGGGAGGGGATGAAAGAAGAGAGAGAGGAGAGGATGGAGAAAGGGAAGAAATGGGCGAAGAGTGGGTAGGAAAGGGAGGGGAAGAAGAGAAGTGGGATGAGAAGGGAAAGAGAAGAGTGGGAGGGGTCAGACGGGAAGAGGAGGAGAGGAGGGAAGATTCGGAAGGGGAATAAACGGGAGAACAGAAGACAGAGAGAAAGATAATGGAGATTGGGACATGAGTTCAGTTATCAAAGGACAGAAAACGAAAAAAATAAAGGAAAATTAAACAACATAATTTCAAAAGAGAAGAAAAAAGAAGTCAGAAGGTCAAAACATGAAAAAATATAAGTTGCATCAAAATAAATAAAAACAACAACCCCAAAGACGGTAAAAACAATAATACAGAGACACATTCCTAATTTAAAAAAAAATACATAAAAAATGTACAAGACAAACAAACAAACAAAAAAGAAGAATTACAAACAAAATTGCAAGATTTTACGAATCTAAACAATGAGACTAAAAGAAACCGGAATAAACCAGAGGAAACAAAACTACAGAAAGAAAAAAAAAACATGAACCTAAAAACTGAATGAAATCAAAAGAACAAATTATTCAACCTGCGAGAGTGAATAAACCACAATCAAATAAACCACGATCAACGAAGCCAAAGACAACGGAACCGAACGACAAAACCTTAAAAAAAAACCTAAGACACAGCCAATACACAAAACGGATTAAACTTAAACACCGAATCCAAGTAAATCTAAACACACTGAGCTGACGAAAACAGAGCCAAAGAAAAGAACACGAATAAAAAAATAATAATAATGAAACGACAACACCGAACACAACAACCCAAACACCAGAAAACGAACGCAGCCAAAACCACCGAACCACAGAAAACGAGCCTTAACCGAAGAAAACAAGCCTCAAAGTCATAGAAAACGAGCCTCATCCACAGAAAACGAGCCTCAAAACCATGGAAAACGAGCCTCAAAGTCATGGAAAACGAGTCTCAACCATAGAAAACGAACCTCAAAACCATAGAAAACGAGCCTCAAAACCATAGAAAACGAGCCTCAAAGTCATGGAAAACGAGTCTCAACCATAGAAACGAACCTCAAAACCATAGAAAACGCCTCAAAAACATTAGAAAACGAGCCTCAAAGTCATGGAAAACGAGTCTCAACCGAAAACCGAACCTCAAAACCATAGAAAACGAGCCTCAAAACCATAGAAAACGAGCCTCAAAGTCATGGAAAACGAGTCTCAACCATAGAAAACGAACCTCAAAACCATAGAGAAAAACGAGCCTCAAAAACCATAGAAAAACGAGCCTCAAAGTCATGGAAAACGAGTCTCAACATAGAAAACGAACCTCAAAAACCATAGAAAAAAAACCATAGAAAACGAGCCTCAAAACCATAAAAACGAGCCTCAAAGTCAAAACCGAGTTCAACCATAAGAAAACGAACCCAAACCATAGAAACGAGCCTCAAAACCATAGAAAACGAGCCTCAAAAACCATAGAAAACGAGCCTCAAAGTCATGGAAAACGAGTCTCAACCATAGAAAACGAACCTCAAAACCATAGAAAACGAGCCTCAAAACCATAGAAAACGAGCCATAGGAAAAACGAAGCCTCAAAGTCATGGAAAACGAGTCTCAACCATAGAAAACGAACCTCAAAACCATAGAAAAACGACCTCAAAACCATAGAAACGAGCCTCAAAGTCATGGAAAACGATCTCAACCATAGAAAACGAACTCAAAAACATAGAAACGAGCCTAAACCATAGAAAACGAGCCTCAAAACCATAGGAAAACGAGCTCAAGTATGGAAACGAGTCTCAACCATAGAAAACGAACCTCAAAACCACAGAAAACGAGCCTCAAAACCATAGAAAACGAGCCTCAAAGTCATGGAAAAACGAGTCTCAACCATAAGAAAACGAACTCTCAAAACCACAGAAAACGAGCCTCCAAACCATAGAAACGAGCCTCAAAACAACAGAAAACGAGCCTCAAACCCACAGAAAACGAGCCTCAAAACCATAGAAAACGAGCCTCAAAACCATAAAAAACGAGCCTCAAAACCACAGAAAACGAGCCTCAAAACCACAGGAAAACGAGCCTCAAAACACAGAAACGAGCCTAAAGTCACAGAAAACGAGCCTCGACCACAGAAAACGGAGCGCCCGCCCCTGCTTGCGATCCGGGCGCCCAATACCGCAGGCATGAACTCCTCCAAAGCACTCCACAAAGGCTTGATTCCCGCTGTCACAGTTCTGTCTATGAGGCCTTGGACGTGGAAAGGAGAAACACAAAAAGAAAAAGAAAAAGAGAAACAAAATAGAAACGGAAGAAAATATAACCACAAAGGAGAGAGCTACGTGTATCGAAGGGGAAATAACGATTTTCGAAAAGAGAGTGAAGAAAGACGGGGAAAAGAGAGGACTAAAGGAAACCCGCAAGCAGAGTACGAGAAAGCAAACCTCCCAAAGAAAAAAAGGAAAAAAAGGAAAACATGAACCTAAAAACTGAATGAAATCAAAAGAACAAATTATTCAACCAGCGAGAATGAATAAACCACAATCAACGAAGCCATAGACAACGGAACCGAACGACAAAACTTAAAAAAAAAAAAACTTAGACACAGCCAATACACAAAACGGATTAAACCTAAACACCGAATCCAAGTAAATCCCCGAATCCAAGTAAAGTCAAGTAAACAACCCAAACAACAGAAAACGAACACAGCTAAAACCACCGAACCACAGAAAACGAACCTCAAAACCATAGAAAACGAGCCTCAACCACAGAAAACGAGCCTACAAGAAACGAGCCTCAAAACCACAGAAAACGAGCCTCAAAACCACAGAAAACGAGCCTCGACCACAGAAAACGGAGCGCCCGCCCCTGCTTGCGATCCGGGCGCCCAATACCGCAGGCATGAATCCTTCAAGCACTCCACAAAGGCTGATTCCTCGCTGTCACAGTTCTGTCTATGAGCGTGGACGTGGAAAGAGAAACACAAAAAGAAAAAAAAAAGAGAAAGAAAATAGAAACGGAAGAAAATAAAACCACAAAGGAGAGAGCTACGTGTATCGAAGGGGAAATAACGATTCGAAAAGAGAGGTGAAGAAAGACGGGGAAAAGAGAGAAGGATTAAAGGAAACCCGCAAGCAGAGTACGAGAAAGCAAACCTCCCAAAGAAAAAAAGGAAAAAAAGGAAATAGAAAGAAAAAAGGAAAACATGACCTAAAAACTGAATGAAATCAAAAGAACAAATTATTCAACCAGCGAGAATGAATAACACCACAATCAACGAAGCCAAAGACAACGGAACCGAACGACAAAACTTAAAAAAAAAAAAAACTTAGACACAGCCAATAACAAAAACGGATTAAACCTAAACACCGAATCCGTAATCCCACAGTAAAGTCAAGCTAAAACACACCAAACCACACAGAAAACGAACACAGCTAAAACCACCGAACGCACAGAAAACGAGCCTCAAAACCCATAGAAACGAGCCTCAAACCACAGAAAACGAGCCTCAAAACGCATAGAAAACGAGCCTCAAAACCACAAGAAAACGAGCCTCAAAACCATCAGAAAACGAGCTCTCAGAAAAACGAACTCAAAAACCACAGAAAACGAGCCTCAAACAGAAACGAGCCTCAAACCCAGAAAAGAACCTCAAAACCACAGAAAACGAGCCCAAAGGCATAAAACCACAGAAAACCGAAAACGAGCCTCAAACACAGAAAACGACCTCAAAACCACAGAAAAACGGCCTCAAAAACCAAAACCATAGAAAACGAGCCTCAAAACCACAGAAAACGAACCTCAAAACCATAGAAAACGAGCCTCAAAACCACAGAAAACGGGCCTCAAAACCACAGAAAACGAGCCTCATAACCACAAGAAAAACGGGCTCAAAACCATAGAAACGGCTCAAAACCCATAGATAAACAGCCTCAAAAACCACAGAAAACGAGCCTCAAAGTCATAAAAAAACTACGAGGCCTCAAACCACGAATAAACGAGCCTAAAAGTCATAAAAACGAAGCCTCAAACGCAGAAAACGAGGGCTCCAAAACATAGAAAACGAGCCTGAAAAACATAAGAAACGAAGCCTCAAAACCACGAGCCTCAAAGCATAAAAAACGAGCCTCAAAACCACAGAAAACGAGCCTCAAATAACACAGAATGCAATCCACAGAAAACGGCCTCTTGAGCTAAACCGAGCAGAAAAACGAAGCCCGACCACAGAAAAACGGAGCGCCCGCCCCTGCTTTGCCGATCCGGGCGGCCAATACGCAGCATGAAATCCTTCAAGCACTCACAAAGGCAGATTCTCGCTGTCAGTGTTCTGTCTATGAGCGTGGACTGTGGAAGGAAAAAACACCAAAAATAGAATAAAAAAAGAGAAAGAAAATAGATTCGAAGAAAATAAAACCACAAAGGAGAGAGCTACGTGTATCGAAGGGGAAATATACGATTAGAAAAAGAGAAGTGAGAAAGACGGGGAAAAGAGAGAAGGATTAAAGGAAACCCGCAAGCAGAGTACGAGAAAGCAAACCTCCCAAAGAAAAAAAGGAAAAAAAGGAAATAGAAAGAATAAGAAAAGAGGGAAAGGTAAATAAAATGAAATAGGAAAACAGACTTAGGAAATCTTTCTAGTTTTGAGAAAGAACACACTTCGCAAAGCTCAAAGGCACAAAAACGAAAAACAAACGGACCCCGCCAGAGAATGTCTCCCTTTTCCCCTCTCTTTCTTTCTTTTTTCCCCCTCTCTTTCTTTCTTTTTTCCCCCTCTCTTTCTTTCTTTTTTTCCCCTCTCTTTCTTTCTTTTCCCCCTCTCTTTCTTTCTTTGTCCCCCTCTTTTTCCTTTCTTTTTTCCCCCTCTCTTTCTTTCTTTTTTCCTCCTCTCTTTCCTTCTTTTTTCCCACTCTCTTTTTTCTTTTCCCCCTCTCTTTTCCTTTCTTTTTCCCCTCTCTTTCGTTCTTTCCCCCCCCTCTCTTTTCTTTCTTTTTTCCCCCCCTCTCTTTCTTTTTTCCCCCCTCTTCTTTCTTTCTTTTTCCCCCCATCTCTTTTCTTCTTTCCCCCCCTCTCTTTCTTTCTTTTTTCCTTTTTTATCCGCCTCACCGCCCCCTTTCCTTTCCCCATCTTTCCTCCCCTCCTTTTGTCTTTTTGTCTACTTCTCCCCTACTTCTTTTTCCCTTTTCCCTTTCTCTCTGCCTCTATCCTGCCTTTCTCTCTCTCTCTCTCTCTCTCTTCTCGTCTCTCTTCTCTCTCCTCTCTCTCTCTCTCTCTCTCTCTCTCTCTCTCTCTCTCTCTCTCTCTCTCTCTCTTCCCTCTCTCTCTCCAAGTGGTTAAATTCCAGGACAGAAACAAAAAAAAAAAAAACGAAAAAAAAAAACAAAAAAAACACACACCAACGACTCCAAAGGAAAATGCGACGAAAAGAGGGAGTGAAAAAGCTCAAAGACGATTGGGATCTGATCTTGTAGAAATCTTCCGCATTTTTGGCTTTGTCATATGCTTTTGAAGTTTCTTTTCCTCCCTGCCCGTTTTCTCTCTCGAGCGCGACGGCAAGCAAGCAAACAAGAGCACAAACGCCGCTGTCTTTTTGAGCTATTTACATTACATTTGTGCCTTATTTTCATAAGCTCTCTCTGTGTCTGTTTCTGTATCTTTGTGTGTGTGTGTGTGTGTGTGTGTGTGTGTGTGTGTGTGTGTGGTGTGGTGTGTGTGTGTGTGTGTGTGTTGTGTGTGTGTGTGTGTGTGTGTGTGTGTTGTGTGTGTGTGCGCGCGCGCGCGCGCCCTATCCTTCTCTTCACTTTTTCCACTTTTTTCTCTTCTTCCCTTTGTCCCTTCCTTTGGTCCTTCAAACTTAACCTGTCTTTGCCTTCCCTCTCCCTCTCCTTCTCCCCCCCCATCTACCCTTCCTTCGCCCTCCTCCCCCCCCCCCCCCTTTCCCCCCCCCCCCTTCCCCCCCAACCCCCCCCCCCCCTTCCCCCTGTCAACCTCCCCTCGCCCACGCCGCCCGAGCTGGAAGTGTAGTTTAATTAAATTTTTCAGACGTGTACATTAATCTTTCGCTTTGATACGATTCATTATTTAATTTTCGGTGTGCTTGCACGCAGAAGCGCCCGGGAAGAGGGAATGCGAGGGGTCCTGCGTCTTCCGTGTGCTTGAACACTCCGCTGATGAACATTTAAAGCAGACAGGCAGATCGGATCATACATAAAACGGATAAATAATAACATTACCATCCACATATCCAATATTACTGATCATAACAATAATAACAACCGACACCAATAATAAAACAACACTAATAACAACAAAATCTCCAAGGTTCTTAATCTATAAAGAACAGGATCCATCCGACAAAGAACACAAAGCGATCACAAAACACAAAGACCCTTCGTTTGTTTCGAATCTTTGCTAAAGGGGTTTGTCTCTCTCTCAACGTTACTACATGCTATCGTTTGTGTGCAAGTATTTCATTATATCCGCATAGAGCGGAGAGGGGAGAGAGAAAGGGGGGGGAGAGGAAGGGAGAGAGGGAGGAGAGAGGGAGAGAGGGAGTGAGAGTGAGAGGGAGAGGGAGAAGAGGGAGAGGTAGAGGTAGAGGGGAGGGGAGAAGGGAGAAGGGAGAGGGGAGAGGGAGAGGAGAGGGAGAGGGAGAGGGAGAGGAGAGAGAGAGAGGAGAGGAGGAGAGGAGAGGGAGGGAGAGAGAGAGGGAAGAAGGAGAGGCGAGGGAGAGGAGAGGAGAGAGAGAGAGAGAGAGAGAGAGAGAGAGAGAGAGAGAGAGAGAGAGAAAATAGAAGAGAGAGAGAAGAGAGAGAGACAGATAGATAGAAGAGAAAGAAAGAAGAGAAATTCTATACGCAGAAACAAATAAGCTACTCCCCCTCTCTCTCTCTCTCTCTCTCTCTCTCTCTCTCTCTCTCTCTCTCTCTCTCTCTCTCTCTCTCTCTCTCTCTTCTCTCTCTCTCTCTCTCTCTCTCTTCTCTCTCTCTCTCTCTCTCTCTCTCTCTCTCCTCTCTCTCTCTCTCTCTCTCTCTCTCTCTCTCACATCGGTGTGACAGAGAAATAGAGTGTACATTCAACATAATTTACTCCGCTTGCACCTTTCTTCACAAAATAATCCTCATGTCAGAGGCAGTGTGCAACCGAGTCCATGAGGGCTATGTTAATGAGCCGGCAATTGCAGTGCAACATAACCCGGCGTAATGCCCAAGGCCGGTGGAAACAAGCACTTTATTCGCTTTAGATAAAATGCATTTTCAAACACTCTTTCTGAACTTTTTATGTTTTTTTTTTTTTTTTTTTTTACAAAAGCTCTTACACCCCCAGGCATTAATACTGTTCAGAATATAAAATACTGATTTCAAAGACCAATGATTGTATTTAAATACATGCCATTGAAATACACACATACACATGGCCTCACTCACTCATTCTCTCTCTTCTCTCTCTCTCTCTCTCTCTCTCTCACACCACACACACCACACACACACACACACACACACAACCACACACACCACACAAGCACACACACACATCTACCCCCTCCCCACCCACCCCCATCCCACAACACTCATCCACATTCACCCTAACACACCCACACCCACAAACACACTTTTCTATAACGTCCTCATGACCCAGCCACATACACATGACCCAACCACATACACATGACCCAGCCACATACACATGACCCAACCACATACACATGCCCCAACCACATACACATGACCCAGTCACATACACCCCACCCATACACATTGACCCAACCAGACACACACATGACCCAAACCACATACACATGACCCAGCCACATACACATGACCCAACCACATACACATGACCCAACCACACACACATGACCCAACCACACACACATGACCCAACCACATACACATGACCCAACCACATACTCATACTCAGGGACATGAGAAAACTCGTGACCATTTCCGTCAACTTAAAATGCAAGGCTTCCTCTCATTCAATTTTGTTCCTTTTGTTTGCTTGTTTGTTTTACAAACACAGAAGTTTAAGAAAAAAAAACTAATAAATATATTTACTGTGTTAGTGTTAAGTGAGAATACTGCAGTATCTATTTTCTTATTTTAAAGAGAGAGAGGAGAGAGAGAGAGAGAGAGAGAGAGAGTGAGTGAGTGAGTGAGTGAGTGAGTGAGTGAGTGAGTGAGTTGAGTGAGTGAGTGAGTGAGTGGAGTAGAGATAGAGATAGAGATAGAGATAGTGATAGAGAGAGAGAGAGGAGAGAGAGAGAAGAGAGAAGAGAGAATGAGAAAAAGAAAGAGGACAGAACGAGAACGAGAAAGAGAAAAGGAAAAGAAAGAGAAAGAAACACAAAGTGGAGATAGGAAGCACAGAGGAGAAACACTGGGAAAAAAAGAGAATTGGAGAAATAAGTGACAAGACCTATAGCTACCCGGGGAGGGGGAGGGGCCAGGCAGGAGAGAGGGGAGGGGGGGCCAGGCAGGGAGAGAGGGGGAGGGGCCAGGCAGGGAGAGAGGGGGAGGGGCCAGGCAGGGAGAGAGGGGGAGGCCAGGCAGGGAGAGAGGGGAGGGGCCAGGCAGGGAGAGAGGGAGGGCCAGGCAGGGAGAGAGGGGAGGGGCCAGGCAGGAGAGAGGGGGAGGGGCCAGGCAGAGAGGGGGGGGCCAGGCAGGGCCAGGCAGGGAGAGAGGGGGAGGGGCCAGGCAGGGAGAAGGGAGGGGAGGGAGGCAGGGAGAGGGAGAGGCCAGGGAGATGTGGCTGGACGCAAGAAGTGGAGTGGCTGATGGAGTTGCAAGTGGAGAGGTGTACTTCCACTTTTTTTCCCCCAATTAACGCTCCATTTTTCGAGTGCGCTCGGGAAATCTATCTCGTATTTTATCATTAATCTTTTTTAAGCCTTCAGTGGTATTTA